GACCACAGAGGACCACAGTCTCTACAGCAGGAATACTAAGTAATGGTTGCACTGGTAGCATAAACACAGCAGCATGCAGGATAAGAAGGGGGTGTAATATAGACACAGCAGCATGTAGGATGAGAAGGGGGTGTAACTAGTTTTCTATTCTGGCAGCTGTAATTTAATAGAGGGTCATCGCATTCCTGGAATTTTTGTCACCTGTCTTTCAGTAGTATGATCCTTCTTCACTCTGGTGCAATAGTGATTTCTAAAACAGAATATGTCAAACTGCATTTACAACAACATCTTGAATACTACTTCAGAGCTGACAGAAATGAACTGCTACTGTATTTTCAGCAGTATTAGACACAGCACTGATCTGGGAGTAGAGTTCATCAGTGACCTACCCGAATTGTTACCTCCCCTCTAGAAGAGAAGTTTATTATCTCTCCCAGCTTTCCAGATTGCATTTCTATTATCTATTTATCTTCTACACTTCTACTGACTACCTGCTTCAGCTGATAACTGCCAGCTGCCTCAAATACTCTGTGATGCCTGATAGAGATCTTTCAGTTGAGTCTATTGCTGTAGTTACAATGTGCTGTGTTCTGTGTCCCCAGGAGCTGTAAAAGAAAAGAATTTTATTGGCCCTGGCATAGATATGGTTGACGCTTATGGAGAAAACTGACCTCAATAGGTCATGCTTTGGCTATATTTTATCATTAAAATTCTACAGTCTAATCATATTTATATGAATTTTATCACAAAAATTGAAGTATACGTATCTCATTAACAGAACTGGGATTAAAGATTTATGCTAGCAACAGATCTATCTGTGTGTATGAATGAGGGTGGAGTGAGACATAGGCTGACAATGATTAGTTGTTGATATAAAGCTTACAGAAGGTGGCCAGGTGATTTACCAATACAATTTTCATGATAATAACCTGTGTATTTGCTGGAGATAAGGTGTGTGCACACCACACCAGCCTTCATACGGACATGAAAGAACTCCGAGTTGCATATTTATGGAAGAGAAATTAGTCCAGAAAAAAACCCCACATAATCAGAATGTAATCTTACATAGGCCAGAAAGACACACAGTCACAAACATGCCCTTTAAATCCAGTTTCTGCTAATAGAAGACATAAACTGTAATGTAGCAGAGGTATCTAAGCTTAGAAGAGGACCTGTAAAGTTCTAGGTTCAAATGAAACTGTGTGACAAATGGCACATGGGGGAAACAGACTATTCCAGTAGGACACTTACCCAGTTAGTAGAAGACTCACAGGAAATGCCATCAGGTATTTGCAGAATTTTCTTTTTCTCTTGTGAAAAATGATACTTAAAAACTTTTTCCGTTAGTATTGCTAAATAGACCTCAAGATGTTATCAGCTGGAACAGGAGAGTGTATAACATGCAACCTCCCAGAGGTCTGTCTCACTATCAAATGAAACAGAATGAATAACCAGATATGTGACTTCTTTTCACACACATGCAAGAAAGATGAGATTGTTTAATTTCTTCTTTACAATTAGATCACTGAAAAATACAGAATGCCACCCTCCCATACACAGGCACATACGCACGTGCACACACAGCTCTGAACCTCTGCTGGCTTCTTGAAATTCACATGGAAATTATTAATTGCTATCACTAATACATTTTTAATTCTTATCCATGGAGGGTAGCTATGAACATTTTTACTTTGAATAATGGGCTTTGTACATTGAAGGTGCTCCAGTACTGGAAGGATGTAGAATGACAAGGGTTTTTTTTAATCTGTAACAGGGAACTGAATCACTTTAGAGACTTCGTTCTGTAGCACTTGCAGAGAAGTGCATTCATTTTAAAAACCTGATGTCACTGCAACTCAGGTCAGCATAAAAAATAAAATCATACATCAGCTTTTAGTCTGAGGGCTCATGGTAGTTTTTGTGACTTTAAGCAGGAGGCAGACACTAAGGTGTGCCTATAACTTGTGCAGACCCTAGGCCAGAATCACACACTGTTACAACCACAGCTGGCTTGTGTTCAGGCTCTGCCTCAGACTGGAAAACATAAAATATGATGAAGCACACAGCAACAGTAAGTCAGTTAAAATGCATACACCCTTCCTAGAGAGGGTGTTCTGGAAAGAGGTATAGAAAGAAACTGCACGAGGCACACATGTATATACAGAAAATTTATATGCCTATGTAACGGATAATGTATGATAATATAATCTACTGTTTCTATATAGATGTTAAGCTATGCAGTAGTAATATAAATACAAATGTATTATATATAAGCACAGAATACATCCATGTGTACTGTATGTAGCACTTTTATACATAGCGTGAAGTACATACTATGTAGTACAGCAAATATTGGGTATATGATACACCTTATCACATATATCACTCAATAAAATTTATTGTCTGTACTATATATTGTGTACACTTATAAATAAAAAAATTCTGTATTTATATCTATATAACTATATATTTATTCTAGTTAAGGCACGCCAGTATAAGAAATAGAACTGTGCAATGAAAAACAGTTACCATTTCTATCTTCATGTATTTATTTTCCAGTTCTCTTTGAAAATCACTCTCCTGATATTCTATAAAACAGTATGCAAGCCTTAATATTTCACTGTAAAAGACAATGTAGCCATGGCCATGCTCTGCATTTTAAAGGAACTGTCTGAGGTCCTATAAGGCCTATGACTTTCTTCAGGCCACACAAAGTGTTTGAATTTGGAAGAGACCTTAACAGTAATGCCAAGTATACAACTTCAGTAGAGAAGCTGCTAGTGATGAAATCAAAGGTCTTACATGCGATTTCATCCTAATTTATACATTTTTAATCCTGTAATTGTGTGCCTGACTGGAAGTGATGGTGAGTTTGACCATGGGCGTTTGTACCCAAGCCTCCTGTGCTTGTATGCCCAAGTTGCTGCTTGGTGTTTGCTCTCCCCTCCGCTTGGCTTCATGGGCCCCTCTCGAGTGCCAATTGGTTTTCCAAAGCCTGTAGTGCAACCTGTTGCCAGCACAGACATGGTGACTGTGGGGATGCTGGGCACAGGCTCCTTCCACACGACTGCACGGGAGGTGGCTGACACTGCTACCTAAATGAATGCAACTGTGACTTCCACGAGCTGCCCTGGCAGTCCTCATGGATGTTTGCTCCTAATAATGTCCCTGGAGTCAGGTACATAACTTAAGTATTACTTAGCTTATGTGTCACTGAAATTACTCTAAACTGTTCGGTCTGTTTCAGGAATAAAAGCGTTTGCTCTCTCTACCAGTGAGCTACTTACTGCTCCTTGTGACAACACCACAGAATTTTCCCAGAGACTGTAGTGACCTGGCTGCTTTACAAACACATGACAAAGTATTTTCTCCTGAATCTGAAGAACTTGGAGGGGAAGCAGATGATACACAAAAATTTTAAGAATAATATCCTAAAGAAAGAAGGAATCATAAAATGTTACATTACTGAGGCTTCTGGGTCTGTGTCTTCTGGCTTAATGGTTATAGTTTAAAACACAAAATAATTCCTAAAACTTCTCACATAAGCAAACAAATTCATAAGCAATGCAGGCAAAGAAACCCTATTTCTATGAATTTGTGCTTCAAGATGGCAGTCCTCTGTGGATGGATTCTTTGATATGTGATAGGTATTGCCACTCATGCTGCAGCTTTTTTGAGGGGTGCCATGCTCCTTTCCAGATTATTTTTCAAAGTCTTTTGTTCATTTTGGCTGATGCTAGTTAAGGGATTCAAATTCTATTAATAGAAAATAAACAGACAACCCTATCAAGTTCTTCCTTCCTTCACCAGCAGCTCGGAAAACTGAAATATCCCCAACTACAACACAAGTTCTCTCTCCTCCTGTCCATACACAGGCAGCCTCAGTTCATAACACATCAGCCAAGATCCTGTTCATAAAGTTCCTGCTAAGCAAAGTACATATAATAAAGTGTAAAAAAAAAAAAAAAAATCACATGATAACCACAATTACTTTTGTACATGTTTTGCAACATAATGTCAACAACCGCAATTACTCCAGCCTCCTCACACTACTTCAAACGTTGCACATAATGGGCAACTTTTACTCATGAGAATAGGCATTATGGTAAAGGCTTTAATTATGCAATTATATGATTATGTTGTATTTATTTCCCTACAGGATTTTAGCCTTATGGACAGAATTTCTAGAGAATTTAGTGGTCACTTTCATAAATATGTTCATAATATGTAAACAAGAGTTCTTACATTTTTTTCATTCTTAAGGGCAAGAAAAAGGGCTCAGAGCAAAAGGTGCCCAAGATTTCAATCAGCAACTCATTGCCTGCTGGCCGACGTGCAGTTCTGCTTCAGAAGACGCGAAGTTCCCACGTTTAGCACAAAAAGATCTCTGTGAATTTATTTATTTATTTATTTTTCCCCAACACGAGCAAACCGATCCGCCTTTTGGTGCCCTTTCCGTGGAAGAGAGAGCGCAAACAGCCTTCTAGTGCGAAATACTTTGGCATCCTCAGCCCTGCAGCGGAGCGGGGCCGGGGGCTGACGGACGCGTCTTGCGCTGCCAGGAGTGAAGTGAACGAGCCCGGGGGGGGGGCTCTCCGTGCCCTTCCGTTCCCCGGGACGCGCACACCGCCCCGGCCGCGCCACCGAGCGAAGTGGGGGGGACGGATCCGCGCCCGGCGGCCCCGGGCGGGCGGGGAGGGCTCACGCCTCGCCCCGGCGGGCGCGGGGGCCCGGCGCTCCCCCGTTCGCTCCGTCCCGGCTCCTCCCGCGCCGGCTCCGTCTTCCCGGGCCGGGCGCCGCGCCCCCGCCGGCCCCGCGGAGCCGGGTTGGGCAGCCCGGGAGGCGTCTCCTCCGCAGCCCCCGCCCCCCCGCGCCGGTGCTGAAGCGCCTCGGCCGCTCCCCGGCAGCACCCCCGGGACAGCGGCACCCGGGCCTCTCTCCCTGTCGCCCGGCCCGGGCTCTCCCGCCGCTGCCGAGGACACCTCATGGGAAATAAATAAATTAATTACCCCACTCACCCCCGCGGCAGGGAGAGGAGCCGGCGGCGGCAGCGGGATTAGATCCAGCCTGAGCTAGAGACCAGGTAACGTAACCTACCCGCCAGGAGGGAGGAGGAGGAGGAGCAGCGAGGCCGCTGAAGTCGCCCCCGCCCGGGGCGGGGGGGGTGCTCCGGGGGACGGAGAAGGGGCCGCCGCAGCCGGGGCGCGCCGGCGTGGCCCCCGGCTGGCTGCGGGGGGGCGGCTGCCCCCGCGCTGTGCGCGCCGCCCTGTCAGTCACACACACACACCAGCCGCCGCCCACGCAAGGAGGGAGAGATGGATGGATGGACGGACGGACAGACGCCGCGCAGGGCGCAGCCGCCGCCCCCCCCCCCCCCCCCCGGTATCAAAGCAGCCATGCGGGGAGGCGCCGCCCGCCCCGCAGCGAGCGCAGCCCCACTGCCCTGCGGGCGCCCGGTTCTGACAGCGGGGCCGGGCGGCGGGGCCGGGCTGAGGCCGCGGCTCCGTCGTGGGGAGGGAGGGCGGAGGGGGCGCGGCGCGATCCCGCCCCCGCGCCGCTGCGCGCATCCCCGCGGGGCGGCGGAGCCGCGGCCGCCTCCCGCCCCCCCCACCCCGTCCTCGGGCGCTGCCGCCCCGCCCGCCCCGAGCGGAGCCGGGGTCTCGGGGAGCCCCAGCGCCGGGGGGTAGGGGGGGGCAGCTCCTCTGGGAAGTGTGGGCGGGGAGCGGCGGCGGCAGCCGCAGCAAAGCGAAAACCGTGCTGCCCTCCTCCCCCTCTCCCCCACCCCCCCCGCCTGCCGTCAGCAGAAAGGGGCCTGGCAAGAAGCGCTGATGTCACAGCTCAGTGGTCGAGATGACCTTGGGGAAGGTGGGTCTGAGTGGTCCCTCTGCTGCACCATAGCAGGTGCAGCGCTGGTTGCCCTGCTCCGGGCTTCTCTGAGCCCGACAATTCTGGCATTATTATCTTCAGACATTGCTGTCTTTAGTTAGTGGTTGTGTACTGAGCTCCCGGTGTAACTGGTACCAGAGGTAGGAAAATGCTCCTTCTCCATCCTTCTGTTTACTCGCCCTCTGGTAGCACGTGGTGGACTCCAGTTCATTGAAAGGAGTGGTCTGGAGAGTCTCTCCGGCGAGGGGCAATCGTCCTGAGAGAAAAGGAGTTCTTTGCGCCCACGGAGACCTCCGTGTCCTGGGTTTGTGGTTGTTGAAGTGGCCCCTACAAGACACTGAAGCAATCTTAGAAGAGACTGAGAAGTTGTCCTGTACACATTTCAGAGACCAGAGTGTCCCCTGGTACCCCTGGGAGGGCACGTTACCTCTGCAGGACTGACACAGGTTCTCCACTGCTTTTCCAGTCAGGTGGATAGGAAAACCAGACGAAACAGAATAACACTTAGAGATAGCTGTTTTTTCGGACACCAGCCTGAGCTTTCTGTAAAGGGGTCTTACTGAAATTATTATTGAAAGCTGTTTTGGGAAAAAGAAATAAACTGAAGGAAGCTGATGCCTCATGGAGGTGTCCATTCTTGTTTCATAGGTCTCTATAATAATCACTCGTGTTTCCATAGTGACATCCATCTGTGGCTCTCAAGTTACTTATCAAATAGTAATGAAGTAGGTGCTTGCAGCTTCCATTGCAGGAATAGGCCCATAAACTTAACAGCACACCAATCGAGCCAACAAAATATTGCCTCAGCTCTATCTAGATGAATCATGATATGAAAGTTAGTCTTCAAGACAGAGGGATGTAGACTGATATTTAAAGGAAGCAGAAAACTGACAAATAGTTCAATAAAAGTGGTAAATGCTTTTATGTACAAGTATTAAATCTGGGAATAATGTATAAGTGATTCCCTTCTCACTTTTAAAGATAGCTCCCTTCTCTCTCCTTCCATTATTGCCTGCTAACTTTGAATATCTTCCTTGAGAATATGTGCTGAATATCTACTCCTTCCATATGGTAGAATAAATTCAGAGAAGAAAATACACTCCAGATTTTTCTATTATATGTGCAATTTATATAACTGTAACTTCATGTACCTGTAAGGGCCCAGCTAGCTTAGTTTGCAACATAGTGTTTACAATGTACGTGGTTTCAGAGCAAAATACCTAATTCATTTTGAATAGGCAAGTGGTGGCTGGAGGTTATAGATTTTCTTTCACAGCAGCAGTAAGTAATTTTGGTTAATGAAAACAGCCTCATTTTATTTATATGATGGAGATGTGGAATAGCCTAAACATCAACTGTGGACTTCATGGATGGCCGAAAACTAGATTCACACATTTTATGGATAGGAAAAATCTTTAGATTATGTAGTGATACAACTGATCTGAACAGTTATTTTACATGTAAAGGGGGAGACTTTGAAATATTACAAAGGGAATATCAAAGAAATAGGGTGTAGTTAAACATTGTTGCTCTGCAGCTCCACTGAAGAGAGGCGGAGTTCTGTTTCAGCAATTTTTGGTGTAAATTAATGCATCATTAATAGCATATAAAAAAAGTCTCCTTCCAGCTCTTTAATCTAACTCCATCTGTCACTTCTCTGGAGTATATATTGGATTTAAGCTCACTCAGCTCTTGCTATGGCAAAATCCTCATTCTATAATCCAAGTTTTATGGAGGTAGAAGATCCTTTGGGCAACCTTAAAGGAGATGATGTTGTTTACGGACAGGCAAGTTAAGGGAGAGAAAAGAGCACTTCTTGAATCTCAAGATGATGTTTTTTAAAATGTTTTTCCTTCATTACTCTTCTTTCTTGGATTTGGTTCACTATGTCATACTTCTCTCTCTCTCTCTTTGGCACACATTGTTTTTCTACATTTTAGGAAAAAAATCCTCTTTGGAATCCTTTGTTTCTTAAGTAAATTATTTTATCCTATTTTTATGATGAGCAGATGGTTTTGCTTCCAGTAACTGGTTATTATTGGACCCCTTCTAGTTCAAGAAAAGAGATTACTGCTCACCTGCTTCTTTTTTCCTATTGCAACATGATAGGATGCTTGTGGAGGTTTGAATTTTACTTGAGTAGATGTTTGCTTTAGCAAATATGATGTCTGAAGATAGTTCTCAATTAATTGTATCTCTTACACCATTTGCCAGTGTTAAAGCTGTCCATTTGCTTATGCTAGGCTCAAGAAAACAAGAATGGTCTGGGGCTACACTAATCATCTGTGCTCTTAAATTAATTTTATGCTTCAAGGTTGATATGATTATGAAAATGTAACTCGCTTTTGATATTTATTCAAAAAGGGTTAGCTCAGAGCCATTATTCATTGATAGAGTACTTTACCAGTTTCTGCGTGTGTTCATGTAATGTATATGGCCTAATGTTTGCACAGGATCAAGGAGGAGCTTACGTAGGAAAACAGGACCTCATCGGCCAACTGTTTTATGTGTCAAATGGAAGTGAGAAAAGGTCTGTGTCCCACATACGCATCTCAGTCCAAACCTGCATTCCTCAACTTGCATATATTTGTGAACTGCTGTGCCAACTTTCATAATTTTATTGTGAATCTTGGAACATTTAAAGAGAAGTTTGTGGTATTCAACCAAAACTAATTGGAATAGAGGAGTAAGGAGATAATATTCCATTCCATCCCACGTGAGGAATAGAGGATGTTGGACAAACAGACTGGGAACCTCTATTTGGATTTACAATCTGTTACATATTTCCAGTACTTCTTAGAGCTCTTGGTCTTACAGTCAAGTAACCGAAATAATGTTAAGCTTTCATTGAAAAGCAGATGTCTCACTAACCAGGTCATGGTGGCTGACAGTCTAGATGGAGTTTAATTTTTTTCATTGCAATCTCAAGATGTTTAATTCATAATATTTGTGTCTGAAGGGGGAGATTCATCATCATCAGCTTGTTGTTTTGTTGATTATATTTTTAACTTTACTTTATGCAGTGTCTTTGAGTAGTTCCTTTATTTGTTATCTTCAAGCTCAAGACCCCAGTTGCATGCTAATATTTTTTTATTTTTGGGACATGGTGCCTTCTTGTCTCATGGCACTTCCAGTACTATGTAGTCAGAAGTGTGCATTAAGAGCATTTGCTGATAAAAATTGAATAAGCATTTCCAAATGGATATTGACATAACTAGGGCTATTAAAAGATGAAAGAGGAAATTTAATGGAAAAGAATGGGTCCTTAGCATGATAAACTATTTTCCTTTGTGGTTGCAATACTTACGATCTTAAGAAATGGAATTATTGTTAAGTTACAAAATCAGGAAGCACTAGAGAACAAACTTAAGCCTGATTTTTTTTTTTTTTAATTTAGCTGTTGATGCATTTTCTTTTAACTTCATGTCATGATTACTGAATGTGAAGTGTTGTATTTCAGTGCCACCCAACAAGAAAGCAGTGCTCTGAATAATAATGTAAATTATATAGAATTAACTAATAAGTTTAGACTGTAGGAAACTTGTACTTTTAAGTCAGCTGTTGGCAAACTGCAGAAAGCCCAAACATTATAGAAGTTAGAATATTTCAGAATAGGTGGATTTGACATTCTTTTCATATGGCTACTGTGAAAGATAATGGCAGCATCTGGTTTTAATGGTCAGAGCATAAAACTCTATGTACTGGAGTTGCCCAAAGGTGCAGGATTGTTTAAACAGTGTTTGCTTTCTTCCAGCCTGAACATTTGTACCCCCCAAAAGAATACTTTCAAGTTGTTTTGACAGCAAGCTTGGTAGTTATTTCAATTTTATCTCTCTTTAAGTTTTTCCAGTGGAGAACTCGGTTGTAGGGGAAGATCAAGGTGCTGTGGGAACATTCAGAAAGCATGTTGCGCAGAAGACAGCTCAGAACACCTTTTTTACTTCATGGCTTTTCTTGTCTTTATGCATTTTTAAAAGTTCTGATCCTTTAGAATAGCTCATCTTCCCACACCTGCCAGCAGACTGCTGCTGCAGCTTCAGGCATGACCATCATGTAGTGCCCTCCCATTGTATGGCCATAGTGACAGCAAACTTTTGGCAGTACTCCCAAGTTTGGCCCTTAGGGACAGCTCATATGACAAAGAGTTTTAATGGTGTTCGAAATGTGTTTGGTGTCAAAGATCTTTGTTCATTTTCT